ATAACTATTTAAATTTTGAAAAAAAATATCTCTTTAGAAAACGATGTCATTTTCAAACTTTCAATGGAAATCAGTAAAAGAAGAGCTGGTGCAAAAAAGTAAAAAGTACTTTGATAAGCTGTCCCAGGGAATGAGAGATATACCAAAAAACGAACTGAGTAATAGAAAATAATATTTTTGCAAATCTGACAAAATTCTGAAATTATTCTTATAACTAGCCAAAAAAGAGCGAGGCCCAGCTTCCCTTATGTCTCCCCTCTAACAGTCTTTCTCTAGTACCCAGAAAAATGAGTTCTTATCACAACCATAAATCATATAACTTATTCAGTCTACTTCCTATTGTGGATTGAAGAAGATTATTCGATGTAAGGACGTCATAACGATCTACACTGTCCCTTTTATTAGACTGGCATTAACTTTGGTAAGCGATTTTTTCATGTTCGAGATTTAATTCTTGCATTTGCAAAACCTCATAAGAATATCACTTGCTGCGCTGAAGCTCACAATGGATTAACACAATATGCAGCTTTTGGGACACGTTAACGATCGTCTACATACGCCCTAGTATATATATTTGAATAGCTTTTATATGATGCCATTCAACACAGCGGATATGATTTTTGATGACTTGACAACATGAATAACCGACGTTGTAATAAAAGCGAAAAGATTTTTTAAAAAGAAATATTATAAAATTCGGTTCTTCAAATAGAAAGAAAGTGGGATACTTCCAATTCCTTTAAAAAAAGCTTCTAGAGAACAACATGGGAAAAATGAATCAACCACTCACCATATATTCCAACAACCATTGATACTAGCGATATTGCAACATAAACCAATGCGACCATTAAACCAACCACAATTTGAAACGCATCCTTAATATAGTATATTTTAAGAATCACTTAATACAATTATATTAGAACTATTTGTAAGAATTTTTTTATATCAAGGAATCGCGCGCTCTCCAGAACTTGCGTAAACAGAAACATAAAATAGCACTAACAGTTTATTTTTACGTACACCACATCTATGGCACAAACACCTCATTGATCAAAGAACAGAAGTCGAAATAAAAATAGATAATCAAACTTAATAAAATAATTAATTAATTATTTGTCTTTAATTTTATACTCTGCGGTTTAAAATAATACCTAACAAAATTCAAAGGTCACAAAGACCGCCTTATCCATACAGTTTTTGGGTATATGAATTCCAAAAAGGCGAGATGTGATTTTAAAGGTCCAAGAAAAACTTCTTAGCTAAGGTGTGAAGGATACATTTAAAGTGAAGAATTTAGAATAACACTTTTGTGCATTTGCACACGCACACTAAGTCCACAGATGCGCACGCCTCATAGAGCGTGATTTGGTAGATATTTGTGCGCCTTTCCTGTTTTGACGTCTACACTTTGTAGACTATTTGTAAAACGTGTCAGTGCACCGAACGCACGTTGAAAGACATTCGACGACATATTTGTGCCAATAAATGTAGATTTTACCTTTACTCCTTTGGAGACAGCAATTGACGTTTGCATACATGTGACAAAAAATGCGGTAGCTAATAAAACCTGTAGTACACCTGCAATTATCATTTTTTAGGTTGCATGAAATTATTGATTTTATCGATCCAAGTTCTGATTGTGTTTGCACTGGAACACAACTAACCATATATGATGAGGATAATAATTAGTTTCTTGGCTTTTGAAGCAGTCTCTGGCAACCGATACATGTAGATCGTACCAACTGTAACTGCGGCTAAACCTGTTGCAGCTGAGATGAAGGATGTGACCGCTTGGCGGGGATTCACTGAAAGGCAATCTGGGATTGTGAGAAAATTATAATATCACAATAAATATTATTATAAAAGTTACTTAACACAAACAAGTACAGCAAGTTTTATTTAAATACCACCAAGTTTTTTAAGGCTTTTTTATAATTGTTAAAGACACATTTAAAATGTATTGAACAATTGATTGCACATTATTCAATTCTTAAATCGACAACCGCGACGCGACCGCATGCACGTAGTGTACAGCTTATTACAACACGTTGTTTTTTGTTACTATCTGAAAAAAAGTATGCGGCAATTTTTCAAATGGGCGCACTTTCAGCAACGCAACCGCAGCAAAACCACGTGCACGAGATGATGTTCAAAAAACACAAGAGTTCTTTGTTCACCGAAATTTAAAAACTCGCAAAGATGACTCTCTCCGGAGAAAAGCAGTGCATAAAAAGTTAGCACTTTCTCCAACAATCATTCGCAACGCAGCCGCGCGCTCAACCTCGTGCAGCGTTTCCCGATAGCGACCAGTGCAAAGGCATAGTAATCAGCCATTTTTCCGCATTAATTAGTTATTCAAGACAAAATGCGAAACAATCGAGAAGTTCGGCTTATCGATAGTATAGCCATAGGAAAAAGGAGGCCATTAGCT